GTCCTGGAGAAAGATGGGCACATCCTGGGCCCCGCAGCTGTGCTCGGGGGGACCAGTGCCAAGCTCCCCAGTGCAGTCAGAGCAGCCTGGAAGGGAGGGGACGAGACCACCCCTCCTCCTACAAGCTGCAGGCACCACCCCCAGTTCGAGTCTGGTTAAACCACCCTGGCCGGTCCGGCGACCCCCACAGAGTGCATTTCTGTTGGGGAAGGGAGAGCATCTCAGAGCAGGGACAGTCAAGGTGCAAACCACCGGGTTACAGAGCGCCCCGCCCCCAAGGCCAAATTACTTGTGGCTGCAGATCTTCAGTCACATTCCCGAGGGCCGGGCAGGGACAGCGACTGGCATTGGAGACTCCGGAGCCTCCCGGGAGGCCAGGACTGGCACAGCAGGTGGCCTGAGCTGGGTGACACTGGAGCAACATGCAGGGAGCCCCACAAACAGCAGATTCAAAGGGCGACTGCAACGGGCACCGACATCTATGGAGGTGAACCCCATTTTTAAAAATCTTTTCTTCATATTTCATTTTTAATTTTTTATCTCTCCTTTTTTTTATATCTCTTATTTCCCTTTTTTTCTTATTTTTTTCCAATTTTTCTTTTTCTATCTGTATTTTATTTTATTAATTATTATTACTTTAAAAAATTATTTCATTTATTTTTGTTTTTTATTGGTTTTTTTCCTTCTTTTCATTTTATTCTCTTTCTTATTTTTTTTCTATTTTTAAAGATTTTTAAATTGATCTTTAGAGATAGAAGAAGAGAGAGGGAGAAACAATTGCAGATGTGAGACCATAACATTGATCTGCCTCCTGCACACCCCTGCCCGGGATTGATCCTGAAACCCAGGCATGTGCCCTGACTGGGGAGCCAGCCAGCACCCCAGGTGCAAGGATGATGCCCAACCAACTGAGCCACGCCATTGGGGGTCCTTTCTTTTTCCCTCTAATTCTTTTTGTCTCTTGCCTTTTAGTATTCTTTTTGTTTCATTTTCTTCTTTCTTTCTTTCTTTCTTTCTTTCTTTCTTTCTTTCTTTTTATTTTGTTGTTGTTTTTGGTTTGTTGTTGTTGTTGTTGTGTGTGTTTGTGTTGCTCTCACTTTGGTCTTGTTTTGTCTTGTTTTCCCGTCAGCACCTGTGTAATGGTTGGCACCATGTGGCCGGGGTCTAGTCCCCCAGTCAGTTAGCCCGAGGGTCCAGCCATCCCATGGCTGGGACAACAGCAGTCGACCCAGTACGACAGGACCCACACGCACACACATGAGATCCCCAGAGCACCCAGCTCGGAAGATCAGGGAGAAGCACCACCAGGTCCCACAGACGCCCCTGTGTGGGCCCCAAGCCTGGGAGTCACAGGGTCCATCCGATACCTAGGAGCAAAGACAGAGAAACAGCCAAATGGGGAAAGAAGGAAACAGGCCCCTGATGGCAGAACAGGGAGAAGCTCCGGAAAGAAAAGTCAGCAGCCAGATGACATCGAGGCAGGCAGTGCATCGGGGGTAAAGCAGTGGTTTCAAGAATGCTCCACAGCCTGAAAAAGGACATAAAAACATAAAAACATCAGTGGTAAGCATGACATGTCCAAAATGAAGAATAAAGTGGGAGGAATCAACAGTAGGTGGGGACGCAGAAGGCTGAATCAGCAAAGTAGAAGGCAAGCTAGAAAAACATCAGTCAGAGCAGCAAAAATAATACTGATTAAAAAGCATGAGGATAGTTAAAGGGAACTTTGGGAAGACACAAACTGTAACAATGTCTGTGTCACAGGGACAGCGAGGAAGAAGAAAGTGAGCAAGGGATAGAGAACCCGTTTGAAAAAGTAATGACAAAAAACTGCCCTAACCTGGCTAAGGGGACAGTCACCCGAGTTCAGGAAGCACAGAGGATCCCAATCGAGATGAACCCAAAAGGAGCCACACCAAGACACATCATAATTAAAAGGACAAAGGTTAATGACAAAGAGGGAATCTTAAGGGCAGCAAGAGACAGACAGACAGTTACCTACAAGGGAGCTCCCATAGGCTGTCAGGTGATTTCTCAACAGAAACGCTACAGGCCGGAAGGGAATGGCATGGAGTATTCAAAGTAATGAAAAGCAAGAATCTGAAACCAAGACTACTCTACCCAGTAAGGCTATCATTCAAAATTGAAGGTGAAATGTTATTAAATTCTGAATGGATTATCAATAAGAACAAGGAAGAAATCAAAAACTTACTGGAGAAAAAAATGAAAATGAACTCACAACAACTCCAAGTCTATGAAACACAGTTCTGAGAGGGAAATTCATAGCATTAGCCTACCTCAAAGAACAAGAAACATTTCAAATAAACAATCTAACCCTACAACTAAAAGAACTAGAAAAAAAACCAACAAGAAAAGCCCAGAGTAAATAGAAGGAAGGAAATAATAAAGATCAGAGTGGGCATTAATGACAGAGAAATTAGATATATATATGACCAAGAACTGGTTCTTTAAAAAGATAAATAAGATTGAAGAGCCAGGGGAAAAAAAAGAGAAAGAAAAAGAAGATATCTAGACATTGCAGTTATCACTCAGGACTTTTATAATTAACTATGATTAACATGCTTACGAAAATAAATGAAGTGATCAAGAATATTCCTAGAAAACTCTACCTATAATAGCAAATCAAACGGAAATGTAAAGACAGAAAAATAATATTCATAATAAACAACTCAATGTATGTGGTTTAAGCTGGAAGATAGCTCAGGAGAAAACATTCAAGGTGAATGGATGTTCAGAATATATGTGTATAATTGGAGTTCTGGAAGAAGGTGAGAGAAACTGGAACATAACTCATATTTGAAGACATAATTACCAATACTTTTCTAATGTCAACAACAGACAACAAGATAGATTCAAGAGCTCCTATGAGACAGGGTGACGCAGGACTAACCTCACCTGATGCAGCAGAGTAAACCTGAGGAAAATCAGGACAAGAAAAGGTCTTAAACGAAGAAACATTATTTTCAAAACAGCTAATATTAGATTCACTGAAGTCTTCTCGGTACAAACAAATGACATAAAAAGAACACAGACTGACATCTTTGAACTGTTGGGGGAAATAAATGTGATTAGATAAAAGGGATAATTAAAGATAATTGACCAATCAAAAAATGGAAAAACAATAAAGAATAAATTTTAGTTTTTTATTAATATAGTCTAAATAAGACAATAGTCTCTAGGTAAAGTAATATAAATAAAATAAGTAATTAAAAATGAATAGGATGCTCATAGTAGACACACGTGTAATATGCATGCAAAGAAGAGTTGAAAGTGAAAGAGAAAATAAAGACGTCGTCCCTTGTGTGTTCTAACTATTACAGCTGTACTAAAATATCACCTGTGAACTTTTTGTGTATATTATACTTTCAATACAGTGTATGATAGGGAAGAAAACAAAATTTTTAAATCAAACAAGCAAATAGAACAGACAACAGTAAAAGGACAACCTTTCCAACAAAGAAACATTGTTCAGAAACAAATCCAGATTGAGCGGCTGCATGTCAGTCACCGAAACTTCCCTTTTCCCACTGTGTGCCACATGCATGGGTTACAATGATAACAAAGTAACGACTGTCCTGTGTCTTCCTTGGGAGGTTCTCTGTTCCCCCGAGGTGAGGCGGTTGGGTGGTGGACAGATGAAGTAATTGATGGGGCAGATCATGGGTTCACATCCCCAAAACTACTTTGCTGAAAGCAAGCTTCCTGGTTGATCAGCGACATTTGTTTTGGCTGAATTGACTTTTTTCATTCACTTTCTCTATTTCAACATTCCGCTCCGTCCGCACATTGAGTGCAGTCAACGGAGTTGCTGTTTCTTTTCACTGTGGACAGCTGGGCCGTGGGCCTGTTTGTGGGTGTGCAGTGAGGGCCTCGTCGGCCCTCCGGGGACCGGCCATTCACACGCGGAGCGGAGGTTCCATGGATCTGCCGAACCGGCCCAGCTGCGCCGCTGCCTCTCGTCCCCTGTGGACCTGCCACCACTTTACATCTAGGGATTGCCTTTGGGTTCAGAGCACAGCTGAGAGGGAGGTGCAGAGACTCCCCATCTACTGACACCCCCACATGCACAGTCTCCCCACATTCAACACCCCAGCTGACCGGATGTCCGTCACAGCTGATGCACCCGCAGAGACATGTCATCGTCCCTCGGGTCCATTGTGTACAGCAGGGTTCAGTCTGTGTTGTGCATTCTGTGGGTTTGGACAAACGCACAGTGACATGTGTCCATCAACACAATGTGACATGGAGTAGGTTCACTGCCCTGAAACCCTCTGCACTCTGTCTGTCCACCAGCACCACCGATCTGTCCCCATGCCCCCGCTTCTGTCTTCTCCTGGAGGCCACAGAGTTGGGGGTCACACAGGGTGGGGCCTGCCAGGTGGGCTCCTGTCACTTAGTCACATGCACTGCAGGTGCCTCCACATCTTTTCCTGTGTTGAGAGCTCGTGTCTCCTTAGTGAGGACTATCATTCCGTCCTTTGACGTGGTTTAAAAGAGATTCCGTGGTAAGCGTTCCTGGTGATTCCAGACCAGACAACCCAAGCATCTTGGGAAGGGACCAGAACACTTCTGAGCCTGGATGTGCTTTCCTGCCGAGGGTGCGATGTGACATCCTTCTCAGCCACAGAGACCACGTCCCTCACAGGTGCCCAGCCCCCAGCCCAGGTCCCAGAACTGTGCCTGATTTCATACTGAAGGCCCTGCCCCAGGACAAGTGCTTACGTTCAGACTAGTGGGGCTGCTGGTCACCCTGCGCCGGCTCTGAAAACCACAGGCACTCAGCCGCCGTCTGGATAGAATGAGTGTAGAACCCCAGTGACACTGAGCTTTAGGTAGGAACTGAAGTTCCCCGCGGCTGCTGATTCCGTGCGGGAGGGTCTCAGGTGCCCGGGTGGCTGGCTCGTGCCAGCAGCCGGACCCACGTCAGGGAGGGGGAGACGGCCGCTGCCTAACGAGGCTTCTCCTTTCCCTCGGAGCAGGCTCACGGGATCCAGCGTCCCCGACCTGATCGTGAGCATGAGCGACCAGATGTGGCTCCACCTGCAGTCCGACGACAGCATCGCGTCCCCTGGCTTCAAGGCCGTCTACCAAGGTATGACCACCGCGCGCTCACGGGGCACCACGGAGGCCGCGGGTGCGCAGACAGGAGCACGGCCCACGAGCACGGCCCACGAGCACGGCCCACGAGCACGGCCCACGAGCACGGCCCAGGAGCACAGCGCTGTCTGAGATTAGGGGCTGGCGCGCCCAGCTCCCTGTCTGCAGTCCTGCTTCTGCTCTGTCCGCAGAGAGAACGTGTCACTGGCTGATGGCTGGGTGCGTGGCGCCTGCCGTTATCACGTGGATTTAGGGTGCGGCTCGGTGCGCTGGGCCCCATGAGGCAGGATCTGTGTGCGGCTCGCCTTTCAGGGTCCTGAGGTGCAGCCCTCGGCCTGCAGGGAAGGGAGACATATTTTGAACAAAGTTCGCTTTGCTTAGATGGATGGGTGACGTCTGCTCCCCCCGGGCCATGTGAAGTGGGGTAGTAGGACGAGCCCTCGTGTGGGACAAACAGGCCAGTGCCGCGTTCCAAGGCTAGCCGCTCTGCAGAGGACGCTGCCCCCGTGGGAAGGGCTGTGTCTCTGAAGGCATGTCAGCCAGGGGCTGTCATCTCGGGTCGCTTCCTGCAGGGGCCCAGCTCCCCGAGCCAGTGACCGGCCCCCTGGCCCCGGGGTCCTGTTTCTCACAACCTGCCTAATAGCCCCTGTGGAGTTGCATCTGGGAGGGTCTCTTGGGGAACCGATATCTCTCACCTCACCTATCCATCTCATTTTAAAAAATTATTATGGAACATGTCAAAGAACGAAAAAAGTAGAAAAGTATTGGGAACCCAAAGTGACCTGTATTTGTAAACTTTTGTGACCGCTCCCAGATGCCTGGCTACTGACTCAGGGAGGACCCAGCAGGAGAGTCGGTGGCCCAGCTCCCAGCCTGGACCAGGCCTCCCTGGGTTTCCCGGGACATCCGTCAGGGAGCCGGTGATGTTTGCTACCAGGAGACGCCCACCTGACTCGGGGCTCAGCTAATCCGAAGTCATTTCCAACAGGATTGGAAAGAACCTATCAGCTTAAATCCAAGCTGTGGTCATAAGACCATTCTGACACTATCTTACACAGGACTATAGACTGATAGTCATTTTATCAAAATAGCCAGGCAGTTACATTTTAAACCCATTCAGGTATTTTTACGAACACGCAAACACCCCCTTCCTGTAAAGAAAATGCTATTTATAAACTGCACTCTAAGAAAATGTACAGTGAGCGTTCAGATAAAACATAAATGTAGGTTCCACATCCTTATCTAAATTTTCCCAGGTTTGGATAAGTTCCATTACTGAAGTTTCATAGTTCTAAGGAACTCACAAATGACCAAGTACCACGATGCAATAAGAATCGTAATTGTTTGGACTGTTTTACTGTAGGGGACGCTTAGAAAGAAAGAATTAATTAATTTGAAAGTTACTATCAGGAAAAATTATGAAATGAAACTGGGCCAAAAAAAAAAAAAAAAAGAAGAAAAGTCCTAGGTAGTCTTGGAATGCTTAGTTGCTGCCCAGGGTGCCCACTTCCGTAAACCCTCATTGTCCTTGAGCCATTTCCTGGATCCTGAAGTGGTGGGAGACTGACCACCCTGCAGGTGATCCCTGACCTCGGAAACGCAGTGTTTTTTCTTGAGATGCAGTCGATCATTACCCTGTGGGTGGAGACAGGGCTTTGCACCTATTCGCAAGTGTGTTTCGGGGCCGACGACTGTCTCTAAGTGCTTGTTCTTTGGACTCTCTGAAGCAGTTTTCAAAATTTCACGGTGATGCCTTCATTAATTACTGAGCTCACGAAGATCTTATACGTGATTGATGAGTGCCGTGCAGGTAAAATGAGGGCTGTTCATCTGCGAGTCGGGATTTTCCTTTTCCTCAATTTCGCTCTGAATTTGAGCACAGAGATGGGCCCTTGCCGGGTGCGCATGCGGACTTTCCGGGAGCCGGGAGAATGTAACAGGAAGGCGTTGCCTGCCGAGCCCAGGAGGCAGGTCATTGAAAAGCATCTACCAGGCCCGGCCAGTGGGGCTCAGCAGTAGCGCGTCGACCCTGCACCAAGAGGTCGCCGGTTCGATTCCCGGTCAGGGCACATGCCCAGGTTGTGGGCCCATCCCCAGTGGGGGGCGTGCAGGAGGCGGCCAGTCGATGTTTTCTCTCATCGATGTTTCCATCCCTCTCCCTTCCTCTCTCTAAAATCAATAAAGAAAAAAAAAATTTTAAGTATCTACCATCCTCAAAACAATGACCACTGTGACAGTGTCATGACGTGGAGGGTGAGCACACATGGGGGTCACACTCTTCCTTGTGAGCTGAAGGACCCCCAAGGTGAGAAGCCCCACGGTGAGCACAGGGCCAGGGTTTCTTCACCGGCAAACCTGGGACACCTCCTCCTTGCTGGAGACATGGGGTGGGGTGGGGGGGTGGGGACTCAGCAACTCTTCCTCAGGAGAACTGCTGTGACGACAGATGATATTTGTGTCCAGTCGAAGGCCAGCACTGGATCACACAGATAATTGCTGAAGACTCCCTGACATTTGGATTTTTATATCTGACCTTTACTTGACCTTCTACGTGACTGTGCGGTCCGTCGAGAACACGTGGATCACACGTGCCCTACACTGGGTTCCGCCGTTAGTGGAGGCCGAAAGCCGCAGTCAAATACCAAGCACTTCCCAGTGGGCGAGTGGCGGGGACCAGCCCCCGCAGCACGAGGACACAGCGTGACGCTGACGGCGTGGGGACCAGAGGGGCCTCTCCCCAGACTGCGGCCTCGACTCTTAAGGGATGCGCGTATTCTTGATTAAAATATAAGTATTTGTATTTCAGCGTGAACGACCAAATATTTAGCATAATTATAATTACCTTGGACCCTAATGAGCACCGCGCACAATCTCCATGGTCTTTCCACAGCCGCACATGAGCTGTGTCGCAATTGCAAAAACTAATATAAGAACTGAGGATTTGGTCAATGAAGAGAATGTATCAAAAGATGTCGCTGTTGGAAGTGGGGTTTCCAGAGTGCTCTGTGAAGCTCGCAATCAGAGACGGAATGAAAACGTTTGTGTTTGTTTCTTTATTGATTTTTAGAGAGAGAGGAAGGGAGTGGGAGAGAGAGATGGAAACATCGATGAGAGAGAAAACTGACTGGCCGCCTCCTGCACGCCCCCCACTGGGGATCAGGCCCGCAACCTGGGCATGTGCCCTGACTGGGAATCGAACCGGCGACCTTTTGGTGCAGGGTCGACGCTCAACCACTGAGCCACACCGGCGAGGCAAAATAAAAACATTTTTAAAGGTGATGATCAAATATATGAATAATTATGTCATTTGATTTAAAGCGTAGTTGCTCATGAATTATATTACCAAAAAACATACAGCTGACACTGACATACGGTTTAGTTTCTAGGTTTTGATTCTGCACGATTTGCACTAACCCTGTGTGGTGGGGAGACCACAGCCCACTCTGGGCAGCTGGGGGGTCCTCTCAGCTCGGTGTCGGCCTCCTCACCCAGGGGAGGGGGTGATGACGACATTGTTCCCTGGGTCTGCCCTCTCACTCCTACGACTCACGACGCGGAAAGCCCACTTGCGTGCACGTTACTGTAGTTTTGTGATGTTTCTATGGGTCAGATTTCTTACGTGGTAGATGTGTAAGGATTGTGAATGTTGCCATTTCACCTTCTGACTTCTACTGGCTCTCAGCAAGCCCCTGTGTCCTTCCAGAATGACCGCTGCGTCCGGCGTCGCACCTCGGTCGCCGCCTCTCTTCTCCTGCACACCCTGGGCCGGCTTTGCCAGGCAGCAGGGTCCCCTCTGAATCTCTCAGGGACCCCGCCCTAACAGAGCAGGGACTGAATCGCAGTCTTGACGGCGGGGCCCAAACCCCTTGCCTGCCTCGCACGCCCGTGTCACGGAGACGTGGAGGGTCCCTGAGTGCCGTGAGGGTCCGGCGCGTCTGGGGGTCCGCACACTTGATATCCTGAGATATCCGCGGTCTCTGTGACCTGGGGCACTGTGGTCCGCCCACAGCACACACAGCAGTGCCCTCGGGGCCTTGTGGGGGCACAAGGAGGAGCCGGGCCCCTCCACCCAGCTGTGGAGGTACAGCCCACGGGCTTCGTCCTGGGTGCACCTGGGTTCTCCCTGGGCTCCTCTCTGACCCGTAGATGTTCACCTTCCTCCCCCCCAAGGAGCCCACAGAGCACGTTCGGTTAACATTGTCCTTTAGAGAAGAGTCTGTGTCCCAGCAACTGGGGCAAGAAGCGCAGGGCCAGCTGGGCTCCCCCGGGACCCGGGGGGGGGGGGGCGGAGACAACTCGGACACCGAAATGCAAACCAGGTCACCCAGGTTCTGGGGCGGGAAGGGGACATAAGCTAACGCGAATCTGTCAGTCACCCTGCGGGGCCGTGTCTGCGGCACACGTGTGCACATCTACATGCTTGCCCTCACGTGCATCGCGTGTATGAAGAGAAAACGCTGCTCGAAGTGACTGGGGGTGTGCCGGGAGACGATACTGCGGGTCCGCGTGCGGAGCATTGGAACTGAGCGCTCTCCGCGGATGCATGGTGGGTGTCTGAGGAAGCAATGAACAAGGTGAGATTCGGGTAGACACGTACCCCTGACAACGTGTCATTGAAAATAATTTATTTAAAAACCTAGAGATCAAATGTATAATGTCAGTCATCATAGTACAGTTTCGGAAGGCAGCACTGTCTACTGACCACAGTGCATAGACCTAATATGTTTAATGTGCACTAGAAACCATGTATGTAATGCATACATGTGTATGCATCACGGTACGTCACGCATACATGTGTAATTCACAGAGGTACTGAGCGTCAGCACCTCATGCGTGGAAAGCTCACACAGGCCTGGTGCATCGTCCTTCCACTCTGCATTTTAAATTTTCTATCATAAGTTACAAAAGTAATGACGGAGCAAGCAGGGGATTGTTCTGTGAGCCCTCCTGGCTTCCTGAACAGCAGGAGCCGCGTTGAGGCAGCAGACAGGACTG